TGTGTCTCGCGTCTGGAACCCCTGGAGCTTGATCGATTCGGTGAAATGTAGAGAAGTTAGGTAATTAATGATATATCAATGCAAGAAGTATATAGAAAAATACTTTTTCGTAGAGAGTAAAGAGTTACCTGTCAGTTTGTTATTTTTACACTAAACTTTCTATTCCTCTTTTATTGTGATGGATAAACTACGGATATTTACAGGACACGTTCAAATATATAATCGCATAAATTTGTATAAAACTCCGTCTTTCGAGAAAGTCGCACTATATATGACAGCACAATTATGGCTCGTTCGAAAAGTAATTTCGTTTTTCTTTTTTTTTTTTTTTTAGGAAAATCAGCGACAATTTTTTTACAGTATACAAATATTTTTAATCATATATTGACCATTTTGCTACCTTTCTGGTACCAGCGAATGAAACGAAAAAAACTGCTACAAAACGAAATTACTTTCCGAACAATTCAATAGAAAATCTTCGAGGAACCTGTAGCAGACGAACTAGCAAACGCGGCGGGACACCGAAAACTGGTTGCTCGAAAAGGAAACAATATCGGATTGGATTAAGCGAAACCCGGCGAATGTCGAAGCGATACGCGAGTCCGCGGGGCGAACGATTAACCGGAAAATCCCGGGGATCCGTCACCGGGAACATCCGTCACCGGGAAACCAATTACGATGGAGGTAATAGCTGGCTAGGGGGGGAAGGAGGAGGCAGGACACACGCGTGGCATCCTTTTCAGCCCGTTCTACTCGCGAGCAGCGTTTTCAGCGAAATAAACGTTTTCTCTGTTCGGCCGTGCGGCGATACGTGACGCAGACGTCGTCTGGTGCAGCGCGTTCCAAGCACCAAGGGGGATCCTTGCGTCAGGACGAATTCATAACAGAGTCATAATTGCGGGACGGGACCCGCAGTATGCATAATCCCGTAGTTAGCAGTTCTGCTTAACGATCCGCGAGAAGCAATCCCGACGTACCTGCCACGCTGCAGGATGAAGGCGTCCCAGCAAACCTCTCTCTCATTGCCTATCCTCTCACCCACTGTCTACATCCTCGTCCCTTTTATCACTCTTTCTTCCCTCTCTCTTTCTCTCCCTTCGGTCTGTCCCTTTTACCCGTCCGCTCCCTTTTCTCTACTTTATGCTAGCATCTCCATTCTTTCTTCTTTTTCTCTTCATTTATCACGTTGATTCATCGAAAATATTACTCGGACAGGTAAATCAGATTTTCAAATTCAGATTTGTAAATCCCAAATTGCCAGTCGTTTCGTGAAAACGTGACTTTTGGAATTTTATGCCGACGAGTAAAACATGCCTCCCTGGCTCGTTCAAAGTCAACGTCACGCAGATGTGACAAGAGGAATATACCTAGTTTCCGCATGGAAAATTCCTCGACCTCTGTTGTGTGCCGTCCTCGTCTACTTTTGTTACTGTTTCTCTGTAATTCTCCCCCACCGCCGTAGGTATTCTCTCTGTCGTAGGTATTCGCTTCTCCAGGAATACTCCCGCTAGCTTATCCTCCCTAATACACAGGCTGAAATTACACATCTGCGCGCTTTCCTGTAGTCACGTGTGCAACGTGTGTAGAGATGCAGATGTGCACACGCGGACAGGTAAATAAACACATATATGAAAGCGGCAGTACGCGCACGTGTAACTATTCACGTGAGTAAATATATGTGGACACGTATACACGCTTAATCACCTGTACGTACAATATTACGGGTGGAGGGGCGAGGGGGGACGAGGCGGCCGCGTGCGCCTCGCGGCGGAACACGCCGGAATCCGATGTAACGATGGAACGGATTTCCAGATAAATTTATGAAAGACACGATGCATGCGAAATGAATCGCCTGGTTAAATATTTGACGGCCAGGTCAAATGTGTATTTTATCGTGGGAAGGATTTACGTCGAATCGAATTCGATCAATTTCAACCTACCATTTCGGGGCGAATTACATTTTGAAATCAGCAACACGGTAATTTCAGTGGAATTTTGGAACGGGACACGTTTGCTAAATTCGTTACACGTTGTCGAGTTTATCGGGCGCGGGAAGAAGCGAAGCGTAAGTAGAATACGGACCGAACTGGTCAGACCAACTACCACTGGACTCTCGAGTCTATCGCAACTTAACAAGTTTATACCACTGGGGTATGATAAGGTGTAATATACAGCAAAGAGCGTAACTGTACTATTAACAATTAAAAATTGTCGATAATTTCGGTCTCATTTTGAAGTCGTGTAAAGTCTCTGTTTTAACAACCGTCAGTTCGTCTTTCTTCAAAGATGATGAATTGTAAAAATGCGTGCGAAAACATTAAACTATTTTTTTCGTAACTAGATTCGCCATTATTTTGAACACTGAAGTTTCTGCAACTTTTACAAAACCTGCACGATATTTTTTGCTATTTCATTGAACGTTCAATATTAGAGTTCAACATGAAAAAATCCTAATTCTAATGTTCCAAGTTTAAAGAAAAATTGTACAAAAACAAGTGTTCGTTGTAAAAAAAAAAAGAATTTAAATCTTCAAAACAACAGAAAATTTTTTAATGTTTTTACATTACATTAAAAAAAAAAAAAACATTTTCACTCACACTTTCCCACCCGCTGTATGATATTAAATCATCTTCGAAAAGAATGGCTGTCGAAATAAAAGCTTCAAAGTGAGACCAAGTTACATCAGTTTAAATTATCGGCATTTTTATTCGCTTCACTGTAAAGGTACAATACACAGTGTCACTAATGTAAAATCGTAATAACGTACACTCAAAGAAAAAAAAAAAAAAAAAGATTCGAAAAACCGAATGAAAACCTTCGTCGATACAGTGGAAATTAACCCCCGTCCTTCTCCCTCTTTCCCCGAATTCAGCTCATGCATTTCCACCGTCAGACGCGCGAAAAAATAACCAACACATGTCTTCTACATATGTACAAGAAGAGCGGGCGTGATTTTTTGCTGGTAGACACGACGCACGCAGGTAATTACGCGCGTGTACACCTGAACGCGTATCTGCTCCCGCCGAAGGGATTCGAGGCGTAACGCGACAAAAAACTACGAACGAAAAGAGAAGGGTTGAAGGGGGTTGCGAGCGAGACGAGTGAAAGAGGAAGGGTGTCCTCGTTAATTACGGTCCTCCAGCGTCACCTGCTGCCGTAACCGACTGCGAACAGCAGCGAGACGAAGACGAGAGGAGCATGTGACTGCATGGTAATAACGTGTTCGGTCAGTTCTTTGCTCAAAGTGACGCGGCTCACGGAAATGACGGCGATGCTCGCCAAGATTACTCGCGCTCTCGCTTGTCTCGCGTTCGTTTCCTCGCGCCGAATGTTCAACTAAAACGGCGAACGTTTTCGGGGATCAGCTTTTGAATATTCATCATGTCCGAATTAAACAAACGAGCGAAGTGATCCGCGGTTACGGGTAATCGACGGGAATTAGGCACGTAATTTTCCTACAAGGTTGTTCGTCGCTTTATCTCAACTCCACACCTTGTTATCGTCTGCTGCAAATTCGCGTTCGATTTCTGAAAATCATCCTTTGATAACGACGCGATAAATAAAGCGAATGGCTGTATCGAAATCCGATTAACCGTACATCTTCGCCGAGCCGCCACGTGTTATATTCTCGTCAGGAGATAAGCGTAATTTAAGTCGTGCCGGCAACTGGCAAAGAACGGTTGTTTCCCCTATCGATCGAATAAAACACACGGCCAGACCTGGTTCGACGATATTAAACATGTATCATCCGGTTTTCGCGCACGTGGGCCTCGCGTTCATCCGGCCAGCGAGGTACACGATTCGAGTACCTCGGAGCGTACAAGCCGAACAGGCTCTCCCTTAATTCAGCTTTTCAGTAATTAATTATGCATTGTTATTTGCCGCGATAAGGGAGGCAGGGAACGCGTCGGGGAATTTATCCCTGGCTGCTCTCGCCGGGATGCGTCCACGATTGTTTCCCGTCCGTTCCTCCTCTTCCCCTCCTCCTCCTCGACAGACGCCAGGGATAATCGCGTGTCTAACGATTAACTGAATCGCGAAGAAAGGGCGCGCGGTGTCGCGTGAAGCGCGCGAAATTATCGAGCGACCGCGCCGTACGTATCCTACGAAGACAGAAGACTACGGAACGTTTATTAATAGTAGCCCCGGCACCAGTACACTAGATAATTGATAATTCACGCTCAGCTTAATCACAGAAAGCTCGATGAAAAAGTATCGTTCGTAAGAACCCGAAAGTGAATCCTTTTTCTTTAGGATCGACGAATTAGGAAAGCTTTCCAACATTTCTCGCATTTTTCCATCGAGGAGAGAAATCGAACTTTGTAGTAGCGAAATTTATCGAGCACCAACGTGCGCAAGTGTATGCTTTTCCTATCTGCCTTGATTACACGTTACGTACGCTTCCCGACGTGCAGTAGTAATTTACGGTCTCGTTATGATCGATGTTCGTTGAACGATCGTGATTCTAGACATTTTCGACGGGTAATAGAATTGCGCGCGGCTGTGAAACGAATACGTTACTAGACGAAAGGAAACGCCGAATGAAACAAAACTTTTGCGTATTCGATTCTCTAATTCGACGATCGGTGGTTACGCTCGATCATTATCGCAAACCGTTACGAATCGATGCGATTACGACCGGCCGATGTAAAGGCCAAATGGCGCGAGAAAGAACGGGATAACGGTACTTGGGTTTTAAGAATTCTTCTGTAATTCTTCATTCGCTAATAACAGCTCGGCAACGAACGAGCAAAAGGAAAGTTCGGACAGAACGATCCTGCCAAAGAAACTCTCGCGGGAATGTTAATCGAAGCCTGGACGCTCTGTTTCCAGCGCGTTACACGACCCATCGATCGCTCTGTCTTCCGGCCAAACTTTTTGCCCCCATTAAATCTTTCCCTCTCTTCGATTCTAATCACAAACTAATCGTTCCGTGGACTGGCAACCGCGGTACGCGGCCGTGGAGAAGTCGCGATTAAAACGCGGGTCACTCAACTCACCTGTGTGCGTCCTCTGATGGGCTTTCAGGTGCGAGCTCTTCGTGTACACCTTCTTGCAACCCGGGAACTGGCATTTGTGTATCCTGCGCTTCGTGTCAGGCGGACTGTGCTCGTGGCTCCTCGCGTGGTGCCTGTTGGCCACGGTGTTCGCAGCTGCAGTTGTCCCTGCGTGTGCGTGTTGCGTGCCTGCGACCGCGGGGTAGCCGTTCGCTGTGACGGAGATCAGTCTGCAAGAAAATGGAGAAGGGGACAGTGCCGTTGTTATTAACCCTTTCGTTACGAGCGCCGGATATATCCGGCATCTACGCGATGATCTGTGTGTATTGTATTATTATTCATAATAATTTCAAAGTCTCCAAATATGTCGTTATGTAAAACTTAAAGAAGTACGTCGAAAAACCAGTTTACCGACGTGCAATGTGCACACTTCGCGGCGCGGTGCCCCGTTCAGTGGCGTCAGCTCTGCGGAGCGTCGTTTCTGTCACAATTTTCCACTTTAAATCGATCGTAAATCTGTTCCCGATCTTTTTCACGTTGAGATTTTTTTCGGCGCGGAGCTGACCCCGTTCGACAACTCGCTCATCCCGAAACCAAACTTTTCCCCAGGATTCGTTTGACGTGGTTACCATCGATAGTGGAAGTCGCGAAAACAGAAACGGCACCCTCGCTACAGTTTCTAGGTCGCAATTTACATGTTATCGAACTCTGCATAAATGCTAAAAGCCCTGCGCCCGCTTTATTTACTCCCCGCGCGGTTTACGATGCATTATCAATGGAGACGGACGGCATAAATTTCGACGAAATAGAAAAACTTGGCGAATTTGAACAGAATTCTCGTTAATCACTCGATGGATCTTTCCACGAAGGGTGGTTTCTCCGATGCAAAAATTCAATTCGAAATTGAAATAAAAAAACAACGCTCCTTTGCGTAACTTAAACGGTATTAACCCTTTCGTTACGAGCACCTACGATGAAGATGAATCGATGTATCGAAGTAATTACACGTATTATAAAAGTGCATGATACATTTTAGCTATCAAGACGAGCATTTTCTATTTTCTTCTATTCAACAGTGCAATATTTGTACGACAAGAAATTGTTATAATAAAAAAGTCTATCCTGATTCTATTAATCTCTTGAAAATTTAGGTTAGAGGTTTTATTAGATTTTAGGTTTTAGGTTAAAGTTTTAATTAGATTAGGTTCTAGATTAGATTTTTGTTTGAAAAATTAAAGTTTGTTTAAAAAACAAAAAAGATATTCTAGACTCTTGTCAAAATGTTACCAGGAAATTCAAAAAGGATTCTATTTCAAAACGGATTAACAAACTCTGAAAATGATTCGATCAATGTGTACACATTTTTGGCGCTGTTGATGCCTCAGCGGAGTGAAAAGGTTAAAAATTATAAACAATACATTCGCTATACTTTTTCACGGTGAATGAATAAAATTTACGGAACCGTGAAACCAGGAGATGACTAACGGCTCAAATTCCTCGGCAAATTCTCCAAATCTTCACGCGCGCCACTACGGATCGCAAAGGACGATCGTAAAGCGAAAGAGGTAGCTTACCTTGCGACACCTTGCGCGTTGCTGGCAGTAACCCTGACGATGGCGCTCCTACCGCCCGTCCCATGAAGGTTGAGGTTCTGCACGTCGAGCATCGAACTCCCGCTCGACGAGTGACTGGAGTTGGAATGACCTTGACCCGAGCCCGGGCTCGACGGTGGTGTCAGGATTTGACCTTCGCTTTCGCAGCCGCTGTCCTCCTCCTCCTCGATTTCCTGATACCGGGTAACGTAATTCATTACGCAACGGGATTACGATAACCGTAAGGGAGGCAGATACCTCTGATTAAAGTGCAAGCAACTAGTTAAAACGGTATATCGAACATCGATATCGTACCGCGCCGTCGTATCGCGGCCGTGCGAATCGATCAATGCCAAATGACCCCGTAAACGGATTACACACGACCGCGCGTACGTAAACGGGCGCGTACAGCTCACGTGGTTCGATAGAAAATAGAAAGAGATCGTTATTTGTGTAACAGCCGACATTTGACGGTACTGGAAATTTGACGGGCGTTGTGCGACACCGCGCGAAAAAGGGCGGGGTGAAGGGGAATGTGTTCTTGTCGCGGCGCACGCACCAGCCGCGATAATTAATTTCGTTTGATCGTTCCTTTCGCGGCATTCGCGCGAATTAACAGCCACCGCACGAAACTCGTTTCCCCGGCGAAATAAATGAGAAATGGCAGAGTATCTACGAAGTATCTACGTTCGTAGATGCGTGTTCTCACGAACTTCGTGTTCGAACGAGCGAGAGATCCAAAGAACGACGACCGAGTCGGTCAATTCGAAGACTGTATCGGTCTTTATTCGACGTATTTTCTTATAGAACTTTAGCTCGTCAGAAAACGCATCCATTGCTGCGGTCCGAGTGTGCGTAGTAAGAAAATCAGATCACTGCGAACGGAAAGTTCGAGAGAATAGCATGTAAATCCGGCAAAGGGACGCACCTCGTGCTCCTCGTCCTCTTCGAGGTCCTCGCTGGGCTCTTTCTTGAGAATGAACGCCGTGCACGAGACGGAGGGCGAACTGTCCCAGGACAGCGCCGAACACGCCGAACTCGATGACGACATCGACAGGGAATCGAGGTGCCGGTCCAGGAGATCCCTATCGCGGCCGTTGTGGTTGTGATCGCCGGGACTGAACTTTATATCGTCCAGACAGAGCGTTTCCCTGTCTTCCGACGACGTCGTCACCTACGCCGCGCGAGCACCAGGGAAAAAAGAAAGAAAGATACGACTTTGACACGTTGCTCCAGACACATATGCTTGAAGCGATTGGAACGTGGAAAGCGAGCCCTTCGGCAGATATTTCGGTGCGGTTTCGGCTTACGCGTACTCACCTCCATTTTGATTGGCGATTCGAATTGTGCGTTGGCGGTGCCGGTTGTTGCTGTCCACGAGATAGGCGGCGCCCTGAAGAGGTTCCACGGCGCTGTGTCTAACTCTGTGGGCAACTTTTTGTACGACTGCAGCTTCGGCTCGTCCTTCAGGTACCTCTCCATCTCGTAGCATGTCTGCAAGAATACGAAAGCAATTAGTCTAACTTTGAAAGTTACCCGAAAGTTTTTCTTTCTTTTTTCGTTTTTTATTTTTTTTTTGGTTTCTGACGACCAAATCTCTATCTGACCGTTGTACATTTCACTTTTCTGCGACCAAGGATTGAATTAGGAGAGTATTTTTACGTGACGGCGAATTACGCGTTACAAATTTCCCTCGAAATTCAACGTTGACAAAGGAACGGAATTTGAAAGGGATGACAAGCCGCAGAACACGGGGCGAACTATGTTTCGAGGCGTCGCCGACGTATCGGAAGTCTGGCGAAACCTTTCGATCCGGTCGCGAGGCAAACACCTGCGGCGATGCGAACTTCTCGAGACAGCGGCGAAATTATCTGCAGCAGCCAAGCAGTCGTGTACGCGAAAACACATCGACGTCTTCGCTGTCGTCGAAACAGCTACTCGTGAATTACCGAACTTCCCGCCCTTCTCCACTCTGTCTCTCTTTCCCACCGCCATCTCCCCATAGGCCGTGCCAGTTTGCTGCAATTCCTCGGAGACAAAGTGCGAAGTTATGCTACTCCGGTCTGCATGAGGAATTGCGCGCCCCATGCTCGCGCAATAAGATTACGTTGCCTCAGTTCTCCGTCCCTTCGGATTCCTTCTTGTCCGGCTAGTTTAATGGATCTCTCTCTCTCTCTCTCTCTCTCTCTCTCTCTCTCTCTCTCTTCCTTTACCAATTTCGTTTCAGTATTTTAACAAATTTCTCAATGCCGCGATGGATGATTTACGCGACAGCTCACTGCCGAACAGCGACTTGTAAACGCGGAATAGATCTGAATAAACGTACCGACGAATGTCCTTAGTACAAAACTCGATAATTTTGATACAAGGTTTCGTTGATATTCGAGACGACTTTTCATTACAATCTCTGTCAGCGTGATCGTGCTCCTCTCCCTTCGTTCTCGCGAGTTCAGTCTCGCACTCGGACAATTCCAGAAGAACGACACTCCGAATACTCCACCGCGCAGTCGAGAAAATTTTCACGCTGTTCCGTATTACCGAGCTCGGGATATTAATTATTGGCAACACGATCCTCCTTCAGCAGCGGCTGAATTATGCGGCCGAGTTTCGATGCGAGATACGTTTTACTCTCCTTACTTGCCACCGCGCCGCGATAACTGCCCAACCCGCGTGCACCAGGCCACATCTTCCTTCGAGCATTCTCTGCCAATTTATTATCGCTGCTAACGGTTACCAGCGACGGCGACGGTTTTGTCCGGCGGTTTCACGGATGAAACCACTTATCTCTCGCCGCCGCCGCCGTGCAATAATTCCTCTTTTCTATAAGGCCACTTTAGGACCGCGCGATAACGCTAACAAACGCTATGCTATTTTATTCCAGGCTGCCATCGGACCCAGGCCCTTCCCTTTCTCGGAATTTGCACCGCGAGGAGTCTCCTCCGAGTTCTCGACAATTCGATAACCTGGCTATTAGGCGATTCGATTATTCGACTCGAATTTCTCGAGACGGCACAGCCATGTGTCTCGACAGGCTGTGCTCGTAGAAATTGTTTACTTGACAAGTGAAAATCCTGTTACCGTCTACAGAAGAATAACGCTGATTCGATTACAATCGAATTACAGGCAGAAAATTAGCGCCTAATTAGAACAGTGTACAAAGTCTTGTCCATTAAAAGACGCGTCAAATCTGTTGGACGACAATTAAGAATGAAATGACAAAAATTGACGAGGGGAGGTGGGTGGTTTTCGTCACGTGCTGTTTACGGCCGTTGATCGGCCATTGGAAATGCCCGACACGCGCGGATGAATGAAATCCTCGTTCCTCGTGCCGCACGAAAATCAGGAAATTCGATTACTCGGCGAGCAACGTCCATTACCGGTTTTTCTTCCTTGCAACGGGAGCCGCAGAGGAAATTCAGGAATTGCAGTCACGATACGCGGGCGGGAAAGGTCGGCGCGCGGTAATTATCCGCGCGACACCGGCCCGATCACTATGATACCGGGGATTTCCCGATCATTGTAACGCTAATTAAAGCGGAGAGACGTGCACGCAGGTCGCGGTTGCAACATCGTCGTTGCATTTTGATGGCCGGCGGTAACAATCGTTCGATGTATGCACTGAGGAAGAGAGAGAGAGAGAGAGACCATAAATTGTTCGAACGGCGCACATTGACGAGGTGAAGGCGAGCTGCGCCTGCGCCTGCGCGCGTTTGTTGTAAATATAATGACCAGGCTGCATTGTAAAATTTGACACGCGGAACCGATGAATTACAAATAGTGGCTCCGTGACAATTATCGGCCAGCCGACGTTTGATCTCGATGCGTTCGATGGAATTATCCCCCTGCCGAATGACACTCGACGATATTACCGTTTTGAATCGACGCGCGTCCATGCTGTTGACTGATTACAGCGAGCCTATCGCACCTTGACTTATTTGCTTGTTTGTACAATAATCGTCCAAGAGTTGTCTCAAATTATTCGTTTAATAGTTGTCCAAGAGAGTGAGGACCAAGATTATTTTTATGCTCCATGCATTTTGCAATTATACAGCGAAGAGTATAGCTATACCAACGACGATGAAAATCGTCGATATAATTTAAATTGATAGAATTTCGAGAAAAACAAGATTGTGTAACGATCCATTTTGTCTCGTTTTAAATCGTCTCGAATCTTCTACCTTTGACAGTTCGAGAGTTCGTTCTTTCAGAAAATGATTTACGTTGTGCAGCGGGTGGTAAAATGAAGATTTTCTTGAAAGTTGCAAACATTCAGACTCGTGTGAAAAAATTAAAAGATTCTTTTCATGAATAAATTTACTATGGTCTTGAAGACTGAACGAGCACGATATTTTTTTTTTTTTTTTTTGCCATTTCATTAAACTTTGAACATTGAGATTACATGACGAAATTATAATAGGATTTCTTATCTTACAATTAGAATTTTGATCGTTTAATTCTAACATTCAACGTTCGATAAAATGGTGAAAAGAAAAATCGTAGTTTAAAGCATCATTGTAAAGTGAAGATTGAAATCTTCAAAATGATGATGAACCCCATTCGCTATGTAATGTAAAATCATCTTTGAAGGAAAAAGGCCAATATAGAAACTTTAAGTGGATTGTTGCATGACTTTCCCTTACAAAGTTACAAGTCGGTTTAAATTATCAATTTAATTTTCCATTGTCATCGATACACAATCATGCTCTTCATTTTTTCGTGTAAAAATTTGCAAGGGGTATTCCTACATATTTCTCTTTAATAGTACATTCGATCATTCTGTTGACAATGCGTCGACTACTGTCCAAGTGACGGCACGAGCGTACGAGTGTAATTCAATAAAGTGGAGAAAAATTTAAAAAGATGGCTCGCCCGGCCGGGGTTAATCGGCCGCGTGGCATTCAGGCTGCTTCGGGTTGAAATTAAACCGGATGGAAGTTTGTCAAGTTGACGTGTAGGGATTTTTCGGAAAGCGGGAGAAATGGCGGCCGGACGAAGTTAGAGGGCTTCTGTCTAATATCGTCGCTCCCCTTGGCAAGAAAAATAATCGTCCTCTGACTCCTTCATTATTCACGATTAAAGTTCGCCCAGGAAGCTCGCAGGAACGAATAACGGGCGTTAATATATAACTTGGAAAAGAATTTTATTACCAATTCTGCTGGAAGAACCGTTCCTCCTTCGCTATTTACTCGACTCGCCACTAATTGACATCGAACCATTACAATACCTCGCCAATCAATCGATAACCTTTTTGACCAAAGACTGGGATATCACGAATCTCTTAAACCGAATATTCAAGCTTCACTCAAGTCGCCGACTGCACACCGAGCTAGACCAGCATATTCGGAAAGTTTGATTCAACGTAATCCTTAACACGACACTCTCACACGTGACGCTGAGGTTTGCAGTCAGACAATAGCGTCGGTCGAGCATACGTGACCACGAAATACGAGAGAACCACGTCAATGCTCACGATAATCCCTGTCGTAAGCAACTACCGAGAAATGAAATCATTAGCTTCATTTCTGCAGTCTATAACACTGTACAACGGTATTACAAAATTTACGGGAAGGTCTATGCGTAGAGTAGAGATCGCACTATGGATCAGTTTCCATCGGACTGGAAATATAAGCGAGTCACGAAACGTTTCATTACGCCGTCGCTGTTGGAGTTACGAGGCACACACCGAGCGTATTTGCCGGGTGAAAACGCGTTCGTTTGACGATTAAACAGCAATCATGATGTCATTACTGCGCACAAGGTGAACAACGTTCGTATCTCCACGTTCGATGAAAAGACCATGTACTTACGAGGTTAAGTTTCGCAGAACTTCGAAAGAATTGAATCTTGACTTTGATGACACACTTGTTGGATCTGTGCAAGATCGAAGAATAATAATTAAAAATAGAAGTGCTGTAGGAAATTATTGGCGAAGTGTTACTGCGTCTGTTGCGCGTAGTGTGAAATTCGTGAGATCAAAATTGCCAACTCTAATTTTATGTATAAATTTCTCTTTTCTTGTAACCATACGTTCAAAATCAACCTCGATAAATACTAGTGATCATTTTCCCGCTACTCTTTTCCACAATTCACAGATCGCAGCGTGAAACGCAAATCTCCATTCCTCTCGCGAATATTTCCTTTCGTCGCGCAATCTGTATCAACGATCAATCGCTCTGGTACGATACCTGCGTTTGAGTCTCTCCAGAAATCCCTGCTCTTCAGGGTCCAATGCTTTTCAACAGAGTCGATCTAACGTGTGCTCGAGAATCGGATAGATTATGGCGAGGAATCGGGGAAGTGAAACACAGAGACCCGACGCGACGCGCATCAGCAATATCCTCGCGTTGTTCCACGTTTCAAAATCTCTCGAATCGGATGCAAACTGATCACGGCGGTGAGACAAAGCGGTTGAAAACCAGAAGGAGCCAGGGAAAGATCCGTGTGTGCCAGGCAACGCATCTCTGAAGCGCTAAGTAAACAAGTGGCTGTAGCGA